CCACGGTCATCTCCACGTCTCTGCCCCTCCCCACGGCCTTCTCCACGTCCCTGCCCCTCCCCACGGCCTTCTCCACGTCCCTGCCCCTCCCCACGGCCTTCTTCGCGTCCATGCCCCTCTCCACGTGACATACATATTTGTTTTTCATGTGCCATTTCTACACTAGGCGAGTTCAGTTGTGCGAACTAAGAAAGGAGAAAATTCGGCATTGCCTGCTGAATTTTCTTTGTAGGGGGTCTAATTGCAATGAGTTAATGCCAAATCTTAAAAAATATTATTTGTTTTTCCAAGAAGTTGTTTCTTTTAATTTAAGAAAATGCATCATTTGACTAGAGTCCTCCCTTGTAGCAGCTATGTGCAGCACTTCGTTCTCCAGCGCTCTCCTGACGCATAGGAAAATGTTTTAGTTGAGAACACATATCCTATGTTATTACACCGTTTATTTCATCTTTGGTACTCGCGACAAAAACCAAAATGCGCTTGGATATCCACGCTGGCAATGGCTGAAATCACTGAAGCTGATCAAGGCCTACATATACATACATGTACACACTAGCTGCCAGGTTATTTGTGACGCCTGTGGTGTCTTCTTGGGGATTGACTACAGTGGGGGGGGGGGGTCTTGGGGCAACTGTTCGGGGTGGGGGATGTCTTAAAGGGATTGTCCGAGAAATATGTAAACAGCCAAGACTGACCCATTGCCATCATTAAAAAGTCAAGTCCTGATGTGTAGAGTGTGTATTGACCCCACCCTGCCCCTCCCCGTGGCCTTCTCCAGGTCCCTGCCCCTCCCCGCAGCTTTCCAGAGGAAAAGAAAGGAAGAAAGGCTAACACGTCAGGTTATTTGCACCTTAATTGGATCCGCCAGTGATGGTGATGAAAAGATAAATGAAAAAGATAACGATTATTTTGAAACGGTGTCACTTAATGTTCCATTTTCGGAAGACAAAATCCGAATCCAAATCTCAACGATTTTTAGGTATCAGTACCCATAATCGGGTTCGTAGCCGAGTTGGGTGGGTGGGTGGTGTCGAGCTGTTCGAAATAACTCTGTTTGCTGGGAAAATGTCCACTCTGGATAAATTTGGTCTATTTGCACAACAGCCCGGAATTCGATACAATTTACGTAGGTACAAGCAGAGTTGATCCAGTTTTTTTTTTTTTTTTTTTTTTTGTCTCATCACGAATAAAATGTTTTTTGACCGATATGGTTTTAAAAAAAGGTCCTCTTTATATCTTCTGGGCCATAGGCTAGTTGAGGAAAATGCTTGGTGGAGCGGGAGTAGGCCTACAGTAATATTGCGCAGGTTGGCGGTTATTTGTACCGCCTGTGGTACACTTATAAACGCCTACTGGAAGAAAAATAAGACACTTTTTACGGACTTTATAAACGAAAAATGTTTTGACTTTATAAAGATCCCCTTTTTCCCCATATTTCTCTGCCCTTCCAAGAACGCGTTTTTACTGTGTACCCTTTCATTTCTGTTTCTGCATTTTGTAATATACAACACACTGTCGATCAGATATGAGGAAAACTACAACGAAATATTTATTTTTAATATTCTTTAAATACATTGTGAATTTGAACGACACACACTAACACTGGGTGAACAAGATAAATTATACTCTGCAAATTAAGAATGACAAACCATGAACTGATAATAAAAACCTTGAGTTAGAACAATAAGATGTGTATTTTGCTATTATTTCAAGACAAATTCGGTTATTTACATGGTGTAAGAAGCAGGGCCGTAGCCTGAGCAAAATGCCAGGGGGGGGCAGTAAGCGGACACGAGGGGGCGAAGCTACCGAGGGGGGAGGGTGTGGTGTGTAAAATTCCAAATTCCAGGGGGGGCAGCTGCCCCCCCTGCCCCCCCGGAGGCTACGGCCCTGAAGAAGTTATTTATCAAATGCTCTTAAGTTATCATTTAGAATATATTTTTGGACTTAGTATGGTAAGGACTGGGTGACTGGTAAAATATTGTATGAACAATAGCTTAAATTTAAAGTAAGACCCGTGCTCTAACTTATATTAAAGCCAGTGCAGCTGTTTAAAAACATGT